CTACATAGTATGTAACTCCTTACAATCCCGCTCCCATTTTCCCACAATAGAGAATGCATAGTAGAATAATCTATCTATAATCTAATCTACAATAGTGTGGCATTGGTGGAAGAAGTCTTTTTGATGTTTCAGTTTAGTGCACCTCTCTCACACAGCTGTGTTACTCAGATGCTCCTTCAGATTCTGCAAGATGACCCCCCAACAGAACTGAATGACCTCTTCCAAGTTTCCTCTCCTTCCCCTCCCATTTAAGGAGGAGAAGATCACATCTCTGAACCCTGGAGGAATTCGGTTTGATGCAAAAACACACAGCCCAGCTGATGACATATCTAGGCATATGTTGGTTGTCATGGAGACCTAGCAAGGAAACCTGCCAAGAGTCATGCATGCATGTCCTGGTGAATGGCTAAACCCCCCCAAACCTATACTTTATACCTTGGGAACCAAAATCTCAAGAAAACGCTTTAAAAAAAAAGATTCTGCTGGCAGCAGCTCATGGGTCTCTCCATATAAATCAAGTGATCTTGAATTCTCTCTCCGTTCATGAGTCCTGATTGACTCCAGGCATACCAAGCAAGAGGACCGGGCTGCTTAGCAGGTAGCCATGGAAACCAAGGGACCCACTGCTAGCCTGCAGCAAAAGCCGGGGAGATAAGGCTACAACCACACAGTTTAGATTGTTTTCACAGCTGTGGTTTTCCTTCATTTCTGATCAAAGTAGTGAACAACGTCTTTCCCTTTTAAGGGGCTTGGAAAATATTTGGCTTGATCCCAGAAGAGGGTAAACATTTGTAAGCACAAATAATGAGATCATGGCAGAGTCCAGGGAAGGCAGGAGTTGCTTATGGGAGCTCCAATGACCCTACGTCATTTCTGAGGGTCTGGGACAGGTTCTGGTAGGAGGGGCAGAAAAAGCACTATCCATTCTCAGAGCTGGACAGGGCCTTGAACAAAGCATCTTATAGTATCCTTTCAGCTCAGGTTGAGTCCTGGTGCTTTCATAGACAATCCAGGCCAGTCTTCCTGGAAGAGATCTCAAAACGATCTAATCCCCAGAGCCCACTGTAGTAACAGCATTGCCAAAAAGGCATTAAGAGTTGTTAACCTAATTTTGCNAAAATCCTGAATATTAGAAAAGTGGTCCAGGTAGAAGCTTGAGGCTACTTATGGTTAAAAGTCAAAAGTGGACTTCAGTCTTAATTCATTCCTTCTGGAGACGGTTGAAATGGGCAATCTGGTGATCCCCAAAACAGTATCACATTCTCAAGTTTATGCAGAGTAAATCTAGCACAAGAACAGGTTTAGTACATGAACATAAGATTAACCTTTAAGTTAATTCTGAAAAGGCTAATGAGCAGATCTTAGGAACCACTTGCTCGCTTCCCAGAGGGCAATCTAGAAAAATCATTATTTTAAGCAGCTTAGTGAGTGTGTATGGCATTACTCAGCATGTTCTGTAAGACTTACACTGGCACCCCTGCAGTGTTGAAAATCTAGTGATTCAGGCTAGTGCGAGCGGGTTCCAAGTAGCACACTTCTGTTCTTCTAACTCGCTCAGCTTCCAAATGAGAAAAGGAAACCATCCAAATTTTTGTCCTATGTATTGTTTGGGGACTCCTCCCCAAATTTTAACAAAGGCACATATAGCAATTCCCCAGGATTACACAGTCTATCCTTCATTTTCTGAAGCTCTTGTGGGAACTACAGACTACCTCCAGAAGCTGAGAGATTTTTGGGACTCAACCGGGAATTACGATGGGTTCTACAGATGGCAAAATCTCATTTTAAAGAGGGAAAGAAGAGGAGAAAAGAACACAAAAGCCGAGGCTTTTTGCTGCTTTCATGCTTGATAGATGACAGATAGAAATGATAATAGCAGGTTGGTCAATTGATGAATACACAGGCAAGGCAACCAGGTTGTCTCAGGTTGGCTGAGCAACACTCAGCACTTAGATTTGCTGGTGCTATCAAGAGCTGTCTCGGCAGGTGGTAACTCTCTGTGTCTGGATGTAGAAGCTGAGTGGGGTCTGGCATCACCAGTTCTTAGATGAGGATCCAGGGCAATAGACTACACTACATATCTCAAAAATATTACTGGGAGAAGGCAACGGCATGCTAGTTATCTGCCACTGCCAAGAAAAGTACAAGGGTTCAAAAATTCACTAGGAGTCAAGAGCAAATTAATGGGGATTTAATAGAGCAGAGCAGAATAGAATAACAGAGTTGGAAGGGACCTTGGAGGTCTTCTAGTCTGACCTGGTGCTTAGGCAGGAAACCCTACACCACTTCAGACAAATGGGTATCCAACATCTTCTTTAAAACTTCCAGTGTTGGAGCATTCAGAACTTCTGGAGGCAAGCTGTTCCGCTGATTCATTGTTCTAACTGTCAGGAAATTTCTCCTCGGTTCTAAGTTGCTTCTTCTCTCCTTGATTAGTTCCCATCCATTGCTTCTTGCTCTACCCTCAGGTGCTTTGAAGAATAGTTTGACTCCCTCTTCTTTGTGGCAACCCCTGAGATATTGGAATACTGCTATCATGTCTCCCCTAGTCCTTCTTTTCATTAAACTAGACATACCCAGTTCCTGCAACCGCTTTAGCCTCCAGTCCCCTAATTATCTTTGTTGCTCTTCTCTGCATTCTTTCTAGAGTCTCCACATCTTTTTTACACCGTGGCAACCAAAACTGGATGCAGAATTGGCAAGTGTGGCCTTGTCAAGGCATTATAAAGTGGTATTAACACTTCACGTGATCTTGATTCTATCCTTCTGTTGATGCAGCCTAGAACTGTGTTGGCTTTTTGGCAGCTGCTGCACACTGCTGGCTCATATTTAAATGTTCCTAATAGGTTTCCATAAGACAAATGCCACAACAAAGAGCGCACAACACCTGCGCCCCACCAGATGACACTGGAGGGAATCTCTTCCTCATTCAATCTTTGGGATCGGTTGAAATGACCAGAGGCAGACAGTTTTGGAAAACATTCAACCCTAACCCATGTCAGGAAAGGTTTTTTAAGTGGTAATCAGTACCTTGAATTGGTCTTGGAAACCTATTAGGAGCTAGTAAGACTCATGCTACTTGGGTGTGCCATGAGACAGTCATACCTTTTAACGAAAAGAAAGACTAAAGGTGATTATCATAGCAGTGCTCCAATATTTGAGGGGCTGCCACAAAGAAGAGGGAGTCATGCTATTCTCCAAAGCACCTGAGGGCAGGACAAGAAGCAATGGGTGGAAACTAATCAAGGAGAGAAGCAAGCTAGAATGAAGGAGAAATTTCCTGAAAGAACAATGAATCAGTGGAACAACTTGCCTCCAGAGGTTGTGAATGCTCTAACACTGGAATTTTTAAAGAAGAGATTGGACAACCATTTGTCTGAAATGGTATACTATAACGTTTCCTGCCTAAGCAGGGGGTTGGACTAGAAGATCTCCAAGGTCCCTTCCAATTTTGTTATTCTGTAACTATTTGCACCACTTCATTCTGAAACATTTCCATCTTCTGAAAGGTCTTCAAGCACAGCCCCAGGTAGAGCACATTGTGACAGTCCAAAGAGAAGGCGATCAAGGCAAAATCTAGGAATTGGGCGTGGTTATTGCACAAAATGGATTTGTGTAAAGTCCTTCCTCGTCACATCTTCCACCTGCTCTTCAAGCAAGAGTTTATCTAACTCTGCATCCAGATTGAGTTGAAGAATTAAATAGCTGACTCAGGGGGTTTGTTTTCCTAATTCCTAATTAGCTGGCAATTCAAATTTAATCACACTTTCGAATAAGATTTTGGCTGATTCACCCAGCCCTCCTTAGCCACATCTGTAAATATAAGAAATTTCTAAGCTTCTTGTCATCCTGTCTTCCAAACAAGATGTAGCCATTTTAGTTTCTTATTGCACAATATTCCAAAACTCCCTCCCCCTCAGTATTTCGACACCCGACTTCCAGCCAAGCATGTGACCCTTGTGAGAAAATTTACCACTTAGAACAATGGTTAAGTTAAGCTGAGGTGACAGTTACTCAAAGCCACAGTATCATCATTCCAGCTATTGCATTCCAGTCCAGAATAGAGTGGGTTTTGGAAGATTTTTTTCCCTTTATCCCTAAAATCATGACTTTTTATTTTACACAAGGAAAAGTTTTAAGAGATTGAAGAAAACAACACAAAGAAAAAAATGAGTAAACCATGAGCTTTTACTCCAAAGAGCTTTTCTGAAAGTTTCTCTTTCAGCCACAATACTTTACAGGCTACCAAAAATGCAAACTTCTGCAAATTTAAGAATTCACACAAAGATGACAAATGCCTCAGCCTAACTGTGTCAACCAACCACAAGTCCTGTATATCTACAATTACTTTTCCTTCCATCCTGAAATAGCAGAGCAGAAGGAACGGAAAAAGCAAGAACCGTTGTCGCCAACACTGAATGTCTTCAAGCAGAAGCCAACCATTTTAGGGAATTTTTCCTAAAACCCTTTCACCCCACCCCATCCCCCAACTCTTAATTCAGAAGCATCCACAAAAGAAAGTAAGACCAACCTAAACCACAAGGACCACATGCCTATATATTAGGAACCAAGCTAACCATAATGGAAACGTAATATTATTTTTCTAAATAGAAGAACATTCCAAAGTCATTACTGGCCATGATGGGGTGACCTAGAATATTGGGGGCTCGGTCTAGAATTTGGATCCATATTGTGGAGCTAAACATACATTTCCCAGTCCTAACCTTAGTTAGTTAGCCCAGAGAAGATGAAGAGAAATTACTGTCCTCTATGCAAAAGTAGGAGGCAGCTAGTCTCATGGATCTTAGATCAGATATAGCTCATCCAATGTCTTTGTCTATTGCGCAATGGGAAGGGCTGGTCATACTTATGTCCCATCTACTGTAGGTTCTCTGAGGATTTAACAAAAACAAGAACTTGTCCATTGTGTTCAAGACTCAATCCAAAAAGCATTTTCTGTTAGTTGCTGCAGGTATATCCATGAATGCAAACGCTCTTACCTTCTGGAAAAAGTCTTCTCCACTTTTCCCCTTTCCTTCAGCAGCAGCTGAAAATAAAAATGGCACACAATTAATCAGATCTACTGCAACATCCTTGTTCTTGTTTACTAACCCCTCTAAGGCAATCGTGGAACATCTCGGTGGGGAGTTTCCCAAAGCAGACTGTTCTGCCAATGAAAATAAATGTTGATGCCGAAATGCACGATTGAACTGAATTATTAAAAGTTTGTGAAATAGCCTAGCATAAAAACTTTTTCATGTAAATGACTAGAAGACCTTGGTCAATTTGACATTAATTCAAATTTAGAGAACCCCTTTCCTCTTTCATTTTGATGAGGACCCTTGTCATTTTCTGAGGAGATGAAATAGGCTAAAGAGCAACCAGCTCTCCATTTCACAGGATCTCAATTTCACTGGATCAGCACCAAATTTTTCTCACTGTCCCTTTTTCAGGTTTTGGAGGTGATTCATACATGTTTATACTGCTTCCAGTGGAAAGGGTCCCAAAGCGGTTTACAAGTATAAAGTACATTATAAGCCATATCGTAAAAACATTACATAAATCCTAGATCTGTGACGGTGAACCTATGGCACACGTGCCCAAAGTGGCACATGGAGCCATCACCTATTCCTCTTCTGGGTTTCTGGTGCGCATGTGTGCACAACGATCAGCTAGCCTTTGTGTGTGCAGCAGTGCCGGTAACTAGAAGAGCTGGTCTTCCATTTTCCAATGTGGCCAGCTGATCGTTGAGAGTGCATGCGTGCCAGTAAATGGCACGCTGGCCAATGCACATGCATGCGCTGAAAACCGGAAGTTCATGTCCCGGTGTGCGCATGTCCCCTGGGCAGCTCATCTTCCAGGTTGCGGGTCAGACAAGCACACTCCCTTTTTGGTACTCAGTGCTGAAAAGGTTCACCATCGCTGTCTAGATGGTAATAAGAGAAAAGCGTAAACAGAAGCCATTTTTCTTCCTCCAAATGCACAAAAAATATTCAGTTAGAAGCTACTACCATGGATGTCTCAGGGTCAAGGAAGAGCCATCCAGAAGTTGACTGCTCCCACAGAGAAAGGCTGGCCCGCAGAGGCCACAAGATGGCACCCAGTGGTTTTGAGCACAACCAAACCATCCATCCATTCCTAACAGATGATCCTTGCCTTCTCTATTACATTAAATCAGCCGTTTTAAAAGGACGGCTCGCATTTCTTCCACTGTTTTTAACCTTTCCAGCTTCACAATGAATCCAAAGAACTACTTTAAGTGCTTAGTTGCATGCTGTGACATCCAATTTTTTCTCCCCCCCCCCCCCCAACAGCATAAAAACAACCACCTAAGACATCAAAGTCTCTTTTCTCAGCCATGGACATTTTGTTCAGTATCCTTGAGCTGGGAACCATCTTCAACCCAGAGGAAGTTCTGATTCGTTCTCCGGAATCTCATTTAGAGACCTGATACGATCTAATGTTTTTCTTTGACTTTCACCACTGAGCTTCCTTCTGAGAATAAACCAACTCTGTCTGCAATGCATATTCAGGAGTATCCAGTTACGGATCACTTGCATAACGTTATTCTTCCACAAAGAGAACATTTCCAAAAGGCAGCCCTCCATCACCTCGTCCTGAAAGTGAAATTAAAACTAAGCACAACGGCACTGGGTTTCTGTGAAATGACATTGTTGTGATTTTCAGTCCCTGGTACTTAAGCTAATAAGAGGTTAGGAGGCTCTAATTTCTTTCCATGTGGGAAACTCAGTTTTTGCCAGACTGAAAGAAAAAAATTATAATAAACAAAATGCTGTTTTGAGTAGCATGGTGCCCTTGCACATTCCCACAGGACCAAGAGGTCTCCTTGACTTTGGACATCTAAAAATCAACTGATTTTTAGAAAACAAAGTGGTAGTGCTGGAGGGGGAACTGATCTGTTGCATAGCACATTGGTTGGTCATCCTCCTTCCTAAGAATAGCTCAGAGTCCCATAATGTCTCTTGGAGAAATGGATGCCTGCAGCGCAGGTACACTGGGGACAGGTGAAATTATTTTTCTGCTTGCTCAGAAAAGGGGGGAAACTGGCCAGCAGAAGAGTTACTAAGAGGCAGAAAGGATAGAAAGATCAGGGAACATGGGGTGTGGGGGGGGGATCTTTGTCTCTTGTTATGGCTCTCAAAGCAACCAGAAATGGACAACCAGAAAATGGATGAAAAGTGGATTATTAAAGGGAATAAGATGAACTAAGAAAAAACAGTTAGAAAAGGAGGAAGGGAAAGAAGAGATATATTAGTAGAACAAAATGAAATATGTTAACACTGTTAATGATATCTAGCTAAATAAGATGTGATGGAATTATATTTATATTAATATTGTTAATTGTGGATAATAAAGTAAAAGGATTATATGAAAATTGAATTTGAGGATATATACCATCTATAGAAAATAGAGTAACAGATGGAAAATGAAATGATAATTTTGATTTACTTCTGAAGGGACAAAAAATGATGTTGCTTATGTGTTAAGAAAAAATTAAGTTTAAGATGGAAATATGGGAAGAAAATAATACGGCTGAAATTAGGAATGGTATGATGAAAAATGAATTATGTATATGAGATAATGTAAAAGGGGGAAAACCTGAACAATACTTTGTTTAGAAAAAGAATTTACAATTTGTAACAAAAAATAAAAAACTTTATTTGCAAAAAAAAGCAACCATTCTGTGAATGTGTGTGCATACTCACAAACACACAACTGAGACACCCACACAAAGAGAGAGCAACTGTTTTACAAAAGAGCCACAAATTTGGAGAGGGACTGTATTGCACATCTTAAAACTGAAAAACCAAACTTAAAAAAAAAAACTTCTCATAAGTAAACAGCAACTTCAGTTTTTTTAAAATCCCAACAGGGGAGAAGTTAGCAAACCAGAAGAGTGCTGGATAAATAGTGGGGTTTTCTGGGCAGTGATACTGACTCTTAGAGGGCTGGAGAAACTGGGTGTTTTCTAACCTCAAAAGGTATTCTTGTCTTCCAAAATACACTCCTGGATTCCACAAAGAGGTAATTGGAAACCTAATTTCTTTAGAAGGAAACCAGCATGAAGTTAATAACCACAATAACATAGATATGGGGGACTGACACCAAAGTACCCAATGTTCAGTACCTATTAACCTGTAACTCATTGTTCATTTATCTAAGGATAGTTGAGTTGACCACATTTAGAGAGCCAAGTGATCAACTAAAGTCTCAGCTAGCAAGTTGGGATCAAAGTTCAAATCATTAGGGGTGACATGAAATAAGTCTTCACAAAGAAGAGGGGGTCAACTTATTTTCCAAGGCACCCGAGGGTAGGACAAGAAGCAATGGATGGAAACTCATCAAAGATAGAAGCAACTTAGAAGGTAGGAAGAAATTTCCTGACAGTTAGAAAAATTAATCAGTGGAATGACCTGTCTCCAGAAGTTGCAGGTGCTCAATCACTGGAAGTTTTTAAGACAAGACTGGCAACCATTTGTCTGAAATGGTAGAAGGTCTCCTGCTTGAGCAGATGGTTGGAATAGAGGACCTCCAAGGTTCTTTCCAACTCTGGTACTCTGTGTGAAGAACCTTCAAAATACTATAGAGGTGTTAGGTTTCCCAATTTAAAAAGAATTTTTTTAAAAAGAAAGAGGAATAAAGGTTGTTGATTCTATATAAACATAAGATCATATGATCATCTATATGGTGGCCTGCAGCCATTTTTAACTAAAACATCCCTCAACTCTGGCCATCTTGGCTCATGACAGCAGTCAGAATTGGATTGGCAGAGGATAGTAGAAAAATGTTTTCCTAATTATTATTATTTATTTTATTTATTAAATTTATTTGCCTCCCATCTTATTTTGAAGTATCTCTGGGTGGCTTAACAGCATAAAAATATTAAAATAATCAAAAATAAAGATTCCTAACACAATGAAATGGAAGGACAATCAAAATAAAATAATAGTTACAAGATTTTTTTGGGGGGGAAGGTGGAGATTGGCTCTTATTAATCAACCAGTATGACACTCTCCCATTGGGCTCCAAGCCATCTGGTACTTGTTCTGTTCATCACAGAGAAGGTCTTTAAATCTGGGTAAGAAGGAAGGAAGTTGACAACATGGATGTATTTCAGTCTAATATATCTGGCTCTGACTGATGGATCCTCACCAAGGACCAAACCAGTGGTGGGATTCAAGTAATTTAACAACCGGTTCTCTGCCCTAATGACCATCTGGATAGGTGAGGCTTGCTGGTCATGTGACTGGGTGGGTGTGGCCAACTCAAGGTCACTCAGGTCGAAGGACGCTTCAAGCTGTTCCAATGTAATCAGGGTTAACCGGAGAGGCAGTTTCTGTAAGCAGGTCAATAAAGATGAGGCTAGAAATAACACTAGAATGTTTCCTTCCTGCCTTCCTTACAGGATTAGCCCTGTAAAGTGGGAAAAAACAAAAGGAGATTTCTTCTAACAATCGGTTCTCTGAACTACTTAGAAAGTTACCAACCGGTTCTCATGAATAGGTGCGAACTGGCTGAATCCCACCACTGGACCAAACTGGAAACCAACAAATTCTTTTGTTGGTTCTCCTTGTTGGCTAGAGCAGGGGTGTCAAATTCAAGGCCCAGGGACTGTATCCGGCCCACAGGGTGCTTAGATCTGGCCTGTGGGGCCACCCTGGAAACAACAAAGAAGCAGCCCATGGTGCCTCTGCCAGCAAAAACAGAGTTCACTTTTTCCTGGCAGAGGGTTGCAGGCGGCCAGTGCAACTGAAACAGAGTTTGGGAGCCCATTTTCACTGGTAGAGCTCTCGGGCCACATGCAGGCACCACGACACAAGGGATGTTGAGCTGGCCACGCCCACCCTGGCCCCCAAGGTCAAACACAACCTTGATGTGGCCCTCAATGAAATTGTGTTGGACACCCCTGGTGTAGAGCATCTTCCAAAAGGAGGACATCAAACCTGGTGTTTTTAGTTAGATTTTGGGTGCAGCCCTCATCCAAGATGCCATAAATGAATTCTCTTGAAGGTTCCCCTCATTAGAAAACAGTTTTTGGGAAATCTGGGGTGCTTTCTTGCTTCATTAAACTAGCTGATACAAAGCTTTGGCCTCCTTAAAGTGGTTTGCTTGCATGAGAAGAGAAGATTTCTGTGTAATGAACAGAACCTCCCCAAAGAATTCACAAGTTAGCAAAATCTGACCTAACTAATGGGCAGAGGGGCTTTTTTCTCACGTAATGAAAATATACAGGCTCCGGTTAACTTCTGAAATTTAATAGACTGAACCTTTTCCCACTACAATATTTATAAAGATTATCAGACCATTTATATAAAAAAGAAAAGTACTCCATTCTATATAAATTACAGGTGCGTTCAAAACTGTATCTATTTCCACTCAAATATATATTTCAAGCAATTTTCATTTCAGCTTCGCTCTGGTGGGTTATCATGCCGGCTTGCATTTCATATTTTTCCCACTTGTAGCCAATGCAGGGCTGCAAATGTTCCGTCCAAAACTAACAGCACAAAGTTGAAACAGGTGTTAACGATTATAGTATCCATGAACTTCGAAAATTTGTCCACTATAAACATGAGCAAAGCACTACTGAACATCCCTGAGACTGAATTTAAGCAAATTATTCTTAAAATTCTAAATAGATGCTATTGCAATTCAAGTTTAAGGCAGGCACTTCTGGAATATCTCCAAGAAAAGAAAGGGCTTATAAAACTATGTAAACTTTTGTGTCAAGGCAGAAATTCATTTAGTGACCATTTGAAGCTACAACAGCACTGAAAAATATGAGTTATGAATGTTTCTCACACTTATGACCCTTAACCCCATGATCACATGATCAAAGTCAAGATGCTTGCTGACTCATATTTTCAACAGTTGAAGTTTCCAGGGTTCATGTGATCCCTTTTTGTGGCCATCCAACAAGCAAAGTCAATGGGGAAGCTAGATTCAATTAACAACCATATTAGTAACTTAATAACTGCAGTGATTTACTTAACAACTGTGGCAAGCAAGATTGTAAAATGGGCAAAACTCAACAAATGTCTCATTTGGGCTGAGTTGTGGTCTTAAATCAAGGACTACCTATAATCAAGTCTATCCCCAAACATTTCAACAATGCTGATGCTAGATAAACAAGTCGGTAGCTTTGCATCCTGCCAGGACTCATCAGTCTCTGTCTCTGTCTCTCTCTGTCTGTCTCTCTCTCCCTCCCTCTCTCTCTGTACATAACTATGGGAC